GTCTTGTTATTTCATGCTTTCATTACACAGTACCAAAACCAGCATGGTAGAGCAGTGGTTACTTCAAGGCTCATGGCACATTTTTACTCTAAATATACTTGTTTTACATTTTAAAACCAGGAATTTTTTGACCTGTGGCCAGTCTTGCTGGGAGAAGTTCCCCCCTACTCAGGACCTCGCACCCCAGATGGCAGGGTATGTGAGAACCAGATTTCTTAAACTCTCTCCTGTCTGGCTGGATTGCCTCACTGCTAATTTTAATGTCACATTCATTTTTATTTGCAGGAAATAGTCTTTTACAAGGTCATTGATTATATATTACATGGAAAAGAAGACATCAAAGTCATCCCGTAAGTGTCCCCGTTTTGTTTGCTAGGTACTGACACAGAGAGTAGCTAAAACCAAGGTTCTCCATGACATTAAGACTCATAAGGAAATATTCAGAGGACAGATAGAATACAGACTAAGAGAGCCAGAATGCAAGTTGATGCTTTGACTCACATTTCTACAGGACAAAGATTTCCTCCGGGGCATCGGGACCATGGCTAGCAAGTCAGGCTCCAAAAGTTACTGCGACCAGTGATTCTTTTTAGATGTAGAAGTGAAGTTCCTTGAATGCCTGCACTTTTGCCACTTTCCTTGGCAGGCTGAGGCATCACTTCTCCTTGGTAACTTCCCTGTGTCAGCGGGTGAACCCATCCAGGTTGTCCTTGTATTTAGGCACCCGCTGTCCCAGCCCTGCCATCCATCCCTCTGCCCAAGTTCCTATGGTGAGTCCTGCTTCCCTAACTGTCATCCAGCTTCCTTACTTGTCTCTCATCCTCCAGTCACTGTCCCCATCTCAAGGCTACCTCTGGCCTTTCTTTCTCTCTTGATACCACACTTAGACTTGTCTTCCCGAAAGCCTCCCTCTTTTCTTGCCACCGAAGTTTTCAAAGGAGCCTTGGGCACCTTGGACAAATCTGACATAACAGGCATTTTGCCCAGTTCTAGTCACACCACTTTGCCCTGCTGTTCATGCTGCAAGAAAATGCCCCTTTACAGCAGTGTTCAGGAGTTCAGGCTCGCAGACATTCTGAGCCAGGAGCTTTCTTAAAAAAAGCACTTTTCTCTGTGCTGAAGGTCTGAAACTTACCCCCCACTTCCAGGAGCAACTTCTTAAGTGTCCACAGACTATGTTATTTTATGGGTTATTCTGCATTGGATCCTTGAGGGAAAAGTATTTACCTTATGTGGAAATTTTTTGCTTGTGCATGTGAGTCCTTTCAAAGTAACAGGACTGTTTAGTAACTGATGGTGAAAAACGTAAAAGTGGAGTGTGTGATCAGCTGAATACATGTCATCTCCATAATCATTCTTCAGTAAACGTATATCCTTAATTTCCCTTACATGTTTTTCTTCCATTCAGAAATCCTACCCCAGATCACTGGGCGCTGGTTACTGGACTGCCAACCTACGTGGCTGAGAGTGGATTTGTAAGTACTTAACTAAGGCCTCATCAAGGCTTTCTGCGATGAAGTCAGACTAATGCTGCTTTCTCATCAATTCAGTTTTTTGTTTTGGTATTTAAACTTCTCATTGCCCACATTGTAAAACGTTTTCTTGTGTGATCCCCTAGATTTGCAACATTATGAATGCTGCTGCAGATGAGATGTTTAATTTTCAGGTACAGTGAAAACTTTCAGTCCCATCAAGGGTTCTACTTTTCTGTAAAAATGTAATTTAGAGTAAATATTATGCATATTAGTATTTCTTTAGCCAGCAGCCTTCATGTAAAATGGGAATGCTGATGTATTTAGAAAACATATTAAGTACATGGTGTCTTTCTGCTTGCTATTGCTTCAAGGAAGGTCCTCTAGATGAATCAGGATGGACTATCAAAAATGTTCTCTCCATGCCAATAGTGAACAAAAAGGAAGAAATTGTTGGCGTTGTCACATTTTATAACAGAAAAGATGGGAAACCATTTGATGAACAAGATGAGACCCTCATGGAGGTATAGTTCCTTGCTGCAGCTGGAAGTAATTCATACGCTTGAGAAAGGTCACTCTTACTCATTGTATACCTACAAAGCATCCCCCAGTGTTTTGCAGCTAAGTAAGTTTCTTTGTTGCTTATAGAGGTGTTATGCATCAGCTTGAAAGTTTTCAAAGCAACTGTATAAAACACTGGTGGTTTTCAGTCTTGGAAACCCAGCTGTGTTTGCATCCTTTTGTTTCAGCATTCTTGGACTGCTGAATCCAAGCAACTGCCGTGAGCAGTTGCTATGTCCAAATATGACCATTCTGACCAGTGTTCACATACATGTAGCTGGCTCACAGTGGCTGGGCAACTCCTTTGAGAAATTACACAGAAATTTTCTGTGTAGCTAAGGTACAAAGGGTGGGCAAGTATTGAATCTACCAACAGCAGCTGTGATTAGAGACCTTGCTGCTTAGAAATCCTCCAATGCTAGTTCAATCCAATTTAGGCATTCAGCTCTTGGCATTCATTATCCGTCAGAACATTTCCTGAAATAGACTCTTTTTATCAAACAAAAAAAATGGAAAAAAAAAATCAGTTTGAATTGGCCACTGAACAGCAAACAAGATGGGAGCAAACACAAGGTGTAAGTAAACATATATGAAAGGTGATAAGAACACCTTTCTCTCCCTTGATACAAGGGTTCCTGACCTCCTGTCAGCATTGATACACCAGGCTTTCCACAGGCACGGAGACAATTGCAACAACACAGAAATAGCTTTCCATATGCTGAATGTCCACCCTGGATAGAGGGTCCTCCACGCGTATGGATCTCTGGAGGTCTAAGCAGATCCAACATCTGGGGAGCTGCTCTGCTGAGGAGCAAGTAGGGGTTGGCAGCAAACACTCATTGATAGACATGTGGCCAAAGGGGAGCTTGTGTTTTTCCTAAGGTATATCATTCAGTGTTATATTTCTGTGTGCCTAAGGAACACAGGTTTTGTTTATTCCACTGTTTCCTTCTTTTCTCCTTACCAAGTCCTTGACACAGTTCCTGGGTTGGTCTGTACTCAACACAGACACATACGATAAGATGAACAAGCTGGAGAACAGGAAAGACATTGCTCAGGATATGGTGCTCTACCACGTGAAGTGTGACAAGGATGAAATCCAGGAAATTCTGGTAATGCCTCACAAGGTGCAGCACACTCCCAAGGGTGCTGGCCGTGCCCATGACTTAATGCACAGACACAAGCCTCCCATCCCATAGAAAACTTCCAAGCACCACGGTGTGGAGGCAGGACCCAGGGCCCCAGTTACTGCACAGATGCAGAACAAGTCTCTGTTTTGACTCTGTGATCTGTCTCTCTGCCTCAGCTCACTGCCACACTGTGTCATTCCTCATTTCCTCAGCAAAGCCAGTCTTGGATATGGGCTGATACAGGTGCTACTCAGGAAAGGCAGGTAGGGTGAAAGAGGAGCTGATTTATTCCCAAAGATCTCCCTAGTGCAGAGGGTGTGGAGTCAGAAGACCCAGCTGAGACCCTGGCTCAAGGGGGACATTTGCAAGTGGAGGAAACATGAACATGAAACATGATCGAGGAGAGGGAGAACATTTTACCAGGAAGAATGAGCTGAAAGACCCTAAACAGAGCTAAGGTCCAGGAAGAAAACGCACTTTGCATATGAGAGCTGCCCTAGGGTGCCCCAAAGCTGCACAGTGCAAAGTCCAGTGCGGTTTGGTTGTAAGTTTAACATGTGTGTGCTCTTTGCAGCCAACACGAGAAAAGCTGGGGAAGGAGCCAAGCGAGTGTGAGGAAGATGAGCTGGCAAACATCCTGGTAAGAGCAATGTACCGCTCCAGTGGATAGCTCTGGCAAACAAATATTGCTTGCGTGGATGCAGGGAAGAGTTCCCAGTGTTGACATACTGGTACGCATCAACAGGGCACCTGGTGAAGGGTGAAGGCAAAGCATACCCTGCCCTCCTCTGCTGTGTGAGTTTAAAGTTATTATCAGGTGGCAGCAAATGCCTTACCCAGCACCCAAGGGAGCTCTCCGCCACTTTATCTCAAGAGGGTCAGAGTCCACCTGGAAACTCATCAGCCAGCTTGACCTGTCACACTATTTGTTCTCCAGAGTAAATACGGAGGGTTGTAAGTCTTCCCTGTAAGACCTCTCAAGTCTTGGGGTCTTTAAACTATAGCAAATCAACAAGAAAAGTGTTTTACAGAAAACAAGCAATATTTCTTGAACTTGACCAAACATGCCTTCCCTATTCCCCCTCCCCTATTCACTTATGGTGTTATCATGAGAAGCTGCATTTCAGTCTATTTAGGTGCTATACTCTAAAAGCAGAAGTTCCTAGCAGTATGATACTGATAAATTTGTATTAAGAAAAACCCATTCCAAGTGTTTCTAGGGATGGTATAAGTAGTACAGCAACAAATTGTCCCACCTCCTTTGCAGAAAGAAGAACTCCCAGGGCCCACCAAGTTTGAAATCTATGAGTTCAGGTTCTCTGACTTTGACTGCACTGAGCTAGAGCTGGTGAAGTGTGGCATTCAGATGTACTACGAGCTCGGCGTGGTGAAGAAGTTCCAGATCCCACAGGAGGTAGGAGCTGACAGCACTCAGGGCCTCCTGCCTTGGATGGCCAGCGCATTCAGCGCTGAATTGTTGAGGTCCCCTTTCATGCCCTGCGTACCTCATGGTGCAGCCATCGGTCTGGGGTTGTGGGAGCTTGCAGAGGTGTGTATCCTGAGCACCCCTGCCCCACTGAGGGCAAGGGATCCCCTCACAAAGCCTCTGGCTGCTACATATGTGCTTGGGGAATGAAGCTGGCCTCTTCCGCCCTGTGCTGTCTGCCACAGGCATGGGTTTGTTGTCAAATCTATGTACATGGAAAAACACCATGCAAAAAATGGGTTGCACTTGCCACGTCTAATGGCTCTCACAGCCTCACTGTAAAAGCACAGTTTCCAGGCACAACGCAGGGCAGTGCATAATTGTGCATGCTTTGCTTGCTGTAGTACATACCTGACAGCTTTCAGACAACATAATCACAATGGCAGGTCAATCTGCTTTTCTTCCCCTGCAAACAAAGACCCGCCTTCATTTGGTGCAGTTGTTGCCTGACTGCTGGCAACAAGAGCGGTGTGACCATGTGAGAACAAGGGTCCACTAGCACCTGATGTGCAACTTCACATGTCTTGGCACTCTTCACATGTGAAACCGCAGGAGCCGCGAAACTGGCATTTCAGCAGTGTTTTCCCAGCACATCATGTGACGTTTATTGCCATCTAGTGGGATATGAGCGTAACTGCAGGAAGAATTTTCACGCAGGAGAGGCAGGCGGCGGAGCAGGAGTGAAGTGGGGTGCTCTGGACGGGAATTACTTGTGTGCTTTTTACTGGTAGCATGTCATGTCAGAAAGTATTCCAAATATCTAGTCTGTAACAACTAACCTCTGATACAGGCATGAAAATCAGTCATTCTTTGCTGCCACTCTGAGCAGCTAAGATTTTGAAAAATGAATTACCTATCCATGATTAATTTGCTCCTTAATGAGAAAACCTATGGAGCTACAAGAGGTAGTACATGTGGAGAAGTAGAATCCAGAGGAAAAAAAAAACCCTGGTATTTCATGCCTTATATTGTAATTGTTTAGATGATATAAACACTACCCATCTCTACATCTATGGAGCCATATCACTTGAAAAGAGGTATCAGTATTACTAAACCACAGTAATTTAGTAAAACTAATCAGGAGTAATACATCTTATATACATAGAGAAACACAGAACTTCCACAAATTTGCAAACAGTAGGATCAAAACTATTTTTATCCAGATGTTGTTCTTTCTTGTTTGTCCCTCAGGCATCTTTGTTTTTGTTTCTCTGAGAGAGATTAGAAAAAAGACAGCTATATTTTAGTGTTCCTTTTAGCCTTCCACTAGGCTTTACTACAGCAATGCTGTGCAGTAAGATGATGTTATTACAGCTTCCTATTTCTTTCTAGGGCCACCTCCGAACCTCATTCATGATTTCTGTGCACAGTCTTTATTACGAGCTCAACAGGCAGCAGCTTCATCACACAAACTGACATCCTCTTCCCCCCATTTGCAGGTACTGGTGAGGTTTGTGTACTCTGTCAGCAAAGGCTACCGGAAGATAACTTACCACAACTGGCGCCATGGCTTCAACGTCGCGCAGACCATGTTCACTCTCTTGATGGTAAGGTAACACCTCCCCAGCTAATGTTGTGGCTTGACTTTGTTAGCAGGAGGTCTTCTGTTGCACTTGCAACAGGTAGGGGAAAGAGACTACAGGACTTCCCTTCCTCCAGTAGTTTCTGACAGTAAGAGCCAGACTGTGGTTTGCTGGAAGGGATGCAGACAACCTCACACTTTCCATTTCCAGGCAGGTATAAGTTGATCGCCAGTGTGAATGTGGCAAGTGCCATTTCTCACAGGCTGTCAAGGCCACAGATGCCCCAACAATAAAAGGTGTCAGACCTCTGCTCCGTACGAGGGATGGACCTCGTGCAGACAGTAAGACCCAGACAACTCGCATCAGAATTATGTCTACAGTCCCCCAGATAATCCTTTGGGTGATTAAGATTGGAATCTAAACTCCATTGCTCAGAAAGAGGCAGAGCCCCTTCACAAAGGGGTTCACTTTGTGTCCAGTGACTGGAGGGGTTCTTGTGAGGACCCGGGTGTCCCCAGGGCAAGAGGCTGCTATAGAAGCAGGCACGCAACTTTGCAGGTGGGCAACAAGCACATATGTACAACATGCCTACCTGAGTCTGAATTGTTTTGTTTCCAGCTGCTTCCCCATTTTAACCTAAGTGTGCCACATATTGCATTTAGCTTCATGAGTTATTTTCAGTTCTCCTGGGCTGTTTCAATGAGGAGATCCCCAGAACAGAGCAGTAACAGCTCAGTACCTTTTTCTATAAGAGATACTAACAAATGGCATGCAAATTCTCACCCTCCAGACTGGCAAGCTGAAGCGGTATTACACAGACCTTGAGGCCTTTGCAATGGTAACTGCTGCTCTGTGCCACGATATTGACCACAGGGGAACCAACAACCTTTACCAAATGAAGTAAGCACTTTCCTACTACTTCAAACCATTTACTGTTGCTCTTGTGTGGAGTGGGATCAGCCTGTGATCACACCAGACTCCAGAACAGCTGTTTTATACACTGCAACCTTTTTTTTTGCAAAAAACTTTGCTTTTCAGGTTGCTACAGCACTTGAAATCTTGCAGTGCTCTCTGGGGCTTTCTTCGACTCACAGCAAACCTCCTTTGGTTAAAGCCACACCCTACATTACTGTTACAGGGTGGAACATGTGCAGCACAGGCATTTAGTAGCCTCAGCATCATAGAAGACTCAGGATGCCACTGGGAGGAACCTGGCCACTAGAGGCCTACTTTTTGCTGGAAGGTGTCTGTGGAAAACCCACCATGCATGGCACTGCCCTCACCACCTGCAGAAACAAAGCACCTATGAGTATGAGGGTGCTGTTCTCAGTAGGTAGTGACTAGCTACAGAAGAACAGCTGCATAATTTCATGACCAGTAGAGCCTTTGTTGCTTTGATGCTCAGTAGTGTCAGATCACAGCTCTTCTGCAGTGCTTGCTGGCTATACTGTCTTACTGTCTTCTGGAGCTTTGGGAAATGTAAGTGAAGGTGGCTGGGTTTTTTGCATAAAAGAGAGTCTTGTTTATCAGCTAGGAAAGTGCCCAAGGACTGATGTTTCTTCTGTTGCTGTTACTAGATATGAACATGTAGCTATTCAGGAATTTAAACAAGCTTACTGTGCTGGGTAATAACAATCCAGTCATAAACAACATTTTTGTGAAATCTGTAGTGGAAGACTGTTTTATACGTCATCCAAATAGTCATAAGCAGTGTTATAAAACTCTTTTACCAGACTGAAGTCATTAGCTATTAAAAATATTACTCTTAAGCCTTTTAGAATGAGTTGAACTTTTGTGTGTGGTAAAATTAAAAATAAAATGGGACACTTCTTTTCTTTTTTTAAGTAAGTGCTGTGGTAACATCTTTAATTTTTCATTTGCACAACCAGATCTCAAAATCCTTTAGCTAAACTTCATGGATCCTCCATTTTAGAGAGACATCACTTGGAATTTGGAAAATTCTTGCTCTCTGAAGAGGTTGGTAATAAACTGTAATGCAGGGACATGAATAATTTACTTTCAGGGAATTTTTTTCAGCAACAGAGCTGACAGCTTAGCACAAGACCTTTCTCTGGTTGGGATACCCACTCTGCAGCTATCCCAACTGCAGTTGCCTCACTTCCCAAGTACTAGATGCTCCTCCAGAACCAAAATGCACAGGCTCCTAAATGCATGACTTGGTTTCTTCAGAAGCCATATTGTTATCCCCATATAAATACGTTAAACACAGGACTGTCCTCCTGTAGCCCCCCTGGCAGGGCCAAGGCTAACAGACTTCCCCAGCTAACTTCTCATTTCAGGAAAGCTTGAAGTGGGACCAGGGCACAGGGTTTGGGCACATGCTGTGTAACAAGCTTCAGGACACTGACCCTGTTCAGTGAACAAAATGGGAGACTAAGCATCAGCATACAGTGAACAGGACTCACAACCCTTGCACCTTAGAGGAGCAAGCTGAAGCTATTAAAGATACATATTAAAAAAGTGAGCACATTTCGGAAAGGGAGATGGCCAGGAACTCACACCACCACAATGACTGGATTTTGCAGCTCCCTTTTCTTTGCTTTTCAGTCACTGAATATATGTCAGAACCTCAACCGCAGACAGCATGAGCACATGATTCACCTGATGGATATTGCCATTATAGCCACAGACCTGGCACTCTACTTCAAGTAAGTCGGTCACATACACACCTATTTTACAAAGGCAAAAAGTGATGTTTTGTTCTGAGAACCCCCCATGCAGAAATCCTATTCACTGACTAATACTGACATGAGGGCTGGTGTGGAGAACTCAAGCTGCTCAAGAAAACTTTGGACTTTTACTTATTATATCAAATACATGACATTTTAAGCCTCAATTTCCAGCAAGGCAGTGCCGTATGATCCTGTAACAGAAAGAGATGTCTGTTGGTTCAGACACTCTTTGCTAGCACTTCAGCACTAAAGATACTCATAAATGGTGAATGGCCTGGCGAGGGCTGCATTATCAGCATGCACTGGCTTCCTGGGACACACAGCTAGAATTCAATATGTGACTTCCTAATTAGCAGGGAGCTTTCAACATGTGCTTTCAAAATGCAACGCCAAGACCAGAGACTGCTTCTGTGGTTTGCACTGAAGAATGTGCAAAATATAAAGTCCACAAAAGAGGAATGTAAGGAAGGGTGCAATACCCAGTCCTCTTACTCCAGAGGTAAGGTGGCTATATGTGAGCAGTTGCCACTGCTTCCTTACCAGGTGCACACAAACTGGTCTTTGCCATCCTTGGTCCATGCAAACAAAGGCTTGGTTGAGATCAGACCCAGGCAAAATGATACACATAGAACATGTATGCAAGCTTCTTTATGGATCTGGCCTAAATGTCTTCTCTGCTAGCAATGAAACAGCAGGTTTTTCCAAATTTCACACCACTCAAAATATGGGTGTGTTGTGTATAAACCCCTCCCCAGAATTTGATGCATATGTTTAGATATATAAATAAGGTTAGCAAGGGCAGACTATGCAGGTAAAACCAGGTAGTTTCACAAAGCCAGCTCTAGGTTTCTACAGGTTACTTAACATTCAGGGAAAAAGCCTTCTTGCACTACCAAAAAAGGTGGAAGCTGACAACTTGCAGTATCTCATACTTTCAAGTTCTTACTCATGACTCACCACTACACTCATTTTTAAGACATTTATAATAGTTTCCCCTACTTAAGAGAAGCAGGTGATGGTGGTTGGATTTGCTGGGGGCTTCCTTGGGGACCTAAATGCTAGGACAGCAGCTACTGGAAACCCTTCTGTAAGGGTTATCAATGTATCAAGGGTTATCAGGATCAGCCATCTTTTTAAACTTGTTTGTTTCCTTGTTTTGGAGCTTTTCATATTTATTTTTTTCCCTCCTCAAAGAAAGAGAACAATGTTTCAGAAGATTGTTGATGAGTCCAAGACATATGATAGCATGACTGCCTGGACTGAATACCTGTCTCTGGAGACAACAAAGAAAGAGGTTGTCATGTGAGTAATCAGCTCTGAAAAGGTTAGTGATGCAGTCACCTGGT